CAGGCTACAGATTCTGTACTTGGCGCTTTTATCCCCTAATCTACTCTATATCCCAAGCCGCCAGAAAAAGATTTCTTTTCAGCCTTGATTCTTTTATCAGTTTCTCTCTCAGCCTAGCAGGACGCCTAAGAGATTGGTGTGTTTGTCTCTTCTGTCTGAAAACAAGCCTTCTATCTTCTATTTAGGCCCTCTTCCAGAGACCATACCATCATCCCCAAACATATATGGGTCTAGGGCAGGCATGAGCCAAGTTGGTCCTTCCCTCCAGAGGTTTTGGACTTCAACTCCCACCATTCCTGGCCTCAGGCCCTTTCCTTTTCCCCCTCAGGGACCTGAGGCCAGGAATGGTGGGAGTTGGAGTCCAAAACCCCTGGAGGGAAGGCCCAACTTGGCCCAAGCCTGTCTCCATCCTTTGCCAACTCTCTTTCCGTTGCAGGGATGCCAGCCTCATCCTGGAAGCCGTGAAGCGCAACCAGTTCCTGCGCTGCCTGGGCGAAGGACAGGACCAACCGCTGGTGGAGAGCTTCACCCCACAAGAGTTCCTCCCGGGGCAGAACGTGGTGGCTGAGGGGGACGACGGCAGCGCCATGTACATCGTGGCCGGTGAGGAGCACGCAATAGAGGGGAGTGTGTGTGTGTTGTGGGTGACCAAGGGGCAATGTGGCGGGCAGAACCACCGCTGGAGATTGATGTCCCTTCCACTGCCACTTGAAGTCTACCCTGAAGCTAAGAATCCCTCTGTGAAGGACACTGGGGATGTTCATCCTTGAATAATAGAGTTGGAAGAGGACTTGATAAATGGATGGACTTCTTCAGGAGAGCTTGGCAACCCTTGGAAGACATGGGTCTTGGCCTGCTTCCCATTCTCTGTGCTCCAGGACACKTATGGAAGTGGGTTGATGGATGTGTTGTGGATTGATTGACATGTTGATGGACGTGTTATAGGTTGATGGACGTGTTGTGAGTTGATGGATGTGTTGATGGATGTGTTGTGGGTTGATTGACATGTTGATGGACGTGTTATAGGTTGATGGACGTGTTGATGGACGTGTTGTGGGTTGATGGATGTGCTGATAGATGTGTTGTGTGTTGATGGACGTGTTGTAGGTTGATGGACGTGTTGATGGACGTGTAGTGGGTTGATGGACGTGTTGATAGATGTGTTGTGTGTTGATGGACATGATGATGGACGTGTTGTCAAAGGCTTTCACGGCCGGAATCACTGGGTTTCTGTAAGTTTTTTGGGCTGTCTGGCCATGTTCCAGAAGCATTCTCTCCTGATGTTTCACCTGCATCTGTGGCAGGCATCCTCAGAGGTTGTGAGGTCTGTTGGAAACTAGGAAAATGGGATGTGTATATCTGTGGAATAATGTCCAGGGTGGGAGGAAGAACTCTTGTCTGCTTGAAGCAAGTGTGAATGTTTCAATTTCTGAACTTGATTAGCATTTAATGGCCTAGCACTTTTCAAGGTGTGGCTTCTTACTGCCTGGAGGCATCCTTTGTTGAAAGGTGATTAGCTGTCCCCAATTGTTTCTTGTCTGGAGCTCCCTTGTCTTTATTTACTGTCCTGATGTTAGACCATTGGCTACCTTGATTAGCATTTAATGGCCTAGCAGTTCTCAAGGCATCGCTTCTTACTGCCTGGAGGCATCCTTTGTTGAAAGGTGATTAGCTGTCCCCAATTGTTTCTTGTCTGGAACTCCCCTGTCTTTATTTACTATCCTGATTTTAGACCACTGGCTACCTTGATTAGCATTTAATGGCCTAGAAGTTCACGTGCTTCTTGTGGATTGCAATGGCTTCTCTGTGGTTGTGAGTGTGGTCCAGCATTTCTGTGTTCTCCAATAATATACTGTCTCCAGGTTGGTTCCTCAGCTGCTCTGCTATGGCTGATGTCTCTGGTTGAATTAGTCAATGTCAGGAGAGAATGCTTCTGGAACATGGCCATACAGCCAAAAAAATTACAGCAACCCAGTGATTCTGGCCATGGAAGCCTCCCACAACAGAGTTGGAAGAGGGCTTGACAAGTGGATGGACTTCTTCAGGAGAGCTTGGCAACTGTTGGAAGACAGAGATCTTGGCCTGCCTCCCATTCCCCATCCAGGTTTATGGATGGTTTTGTAACACAGCCTGGATGGCCATCTGTCTCATAGAATCATGGAATCACAGAGTTGGAGAAGACTACCCAGGCCCCCTTCTGCCATGCAGGAAAAGCACCATCACAGCATCCCTGACAGATAGTCATCCAGCCTTTGTTTAGAAGCCTTCAAAGAAGCCATCTGTCAGGTTAGCCTCGATGACTCATGTGGTCTCTTCCAACTCTTACTTACTTAGGCGATCCCTCGTAGCTCGAGGATGATGGTCCTCCAAGGTGATGGTCCTCTTGGCGGTGGGTCCATGGGTGGCTGTGGAGCACTATTCTTGATCCGCATGTTCTCCCACAGTGAGGACATCGGTTTCCAGACAGAAGGCAGTCCTGGCCAGGGTTGGCTTGATGTGCTTTCACCCTCTTGGCACGTTCCTCCCTTTGGTCCTCCATTCATGCCTCTTTTGATTCTGCAGCACTGCTGGTCTTCCAACTCTACTATTCTATGAGTCAGTGAAAGAAGGAGTTTCCACTGGACAGAAGAGAAGGTTGAGAGCTATGTATCAATATGTGAAAGGGTGTCATAAGGAAGAAGGAGCAAGGCTACCCAAGAAACTAGGACTCAATGAGGCCATGGGTTCACATGACAGGAGAGGAGTTCCACCAGAACATTAGGAAGAACTTCCTGACCATAAGAAAAGCTATTCAGTAGTGGAACTCTCTGCCTCAAAGTGTGGTGGAAGCTCCTTCCTTAGGAACAAAAGCTGAAATGTCCATCTTTCAGGGATACTTTGGTTGCATGGCAGGGGGTTGGACTAGATGGCCCATTTGGTCTCTTCGAACTTAGTGATTCTATGAAAGAAGGAGCTTCCACTGGCAGAAGTGAAGACTGAGCGCTTCTTGACTGTGAGAGCTGTTCAGCAGTGGAACTCTCTGCCCCAGAATGTGGTGGAGGTTCCTTCTTTGGAGGCTTTGAAGTCAAGAAAAGGTGTCTCCTCTCAACCTTCTCTTCTGTCCAGTGGAAGCTCCTTCTTTCATAGACTCATAGAATAGTAGAGTTGGAAGACCAGCAGTGCTGCAGAATTTGAAGAGGCACGAATGGAGGGCCAAAGGGAGGAACGTGCCAAGAAGAAGGAGGTGCGTCCTGCTCCCTCTTCTTATGCCACCCTTTCACACGTTTAGACATGTCTCCTCCCAAGCTTCTCTTCTGAGGCTAAGCGTGCCCAGCTCTTTAAGATGCTCCTCAGGGGGTTTATTCATGGTCTCCGGCCTTTGATCCTTTGAGTGGTCATCTTCCTCTGGACACCTTCCAGCTTCTCAACATCTCTTTTGAACTGTGGGCCCAGAATTGGACATCGTGATAGTCCAAAACCAAGGTTACAACAACATCTGTAATAGAACTCCAATATGCTGATGACAACGTAGTCTGTGCACATTCAGAAGACCTACAAGCCACTCTAAACACCTTTGCAGAACAATACGAGAAGCTTGGCCTACCACTGAACATCGAGAAAACCAAAGTGCTCTTCCAGCAGTCACCAGCCAGTCCCTCTCCAATGCCAGAGATACAGCTTAAAGGTGTAACATTAGAAAATGTGGACCATTTCTTCTACCTTGGCAGCCCCCTCTCCACCAAAATCAACATCGACACTGAAATACAACACCGCCTGAGCTCTGCAAGTGCAGCATTTTCCGAACGAAGCAGAGAGTGTTTGAGGACCGGGACATCCATAGGGAGACCAAGGTGCTTGTTTATAATGCTATTGTCCTCCCAACCCTGCTACATGCCTGTGAAATGTGGACTGTCTACAGACGTAAACATTGAGACTGAAATACAACACCACCTGAGCTCTGCGAGTGCAGAATTTTTCTGAATGAAGCAGAGAGTGTTTGAGGACCGGGACATCCGTAGGGAGACCAAGGTGCTTGTTTATAGAGCTATTGTCCTCCCAACCCTGCTATACGCCTACGAGACGTGGACTGTCTACAGACGTCACATGCAACTCCTGAAACGATTCCATCAGCATTGAGTCCGGAAAATCCTGCAAATCTCTTGGGAAGACAAGCGGACAAACGTCAATGTTCTTGAAGAAGAAACAAAGACCATCAGCACTGAAGCGATGGTCCTCCGCCATCAACTCTGCTGGACTGGCCACGTTGTCCGGATGCCTGACCACCATCTCCCAAAGCAGTTGCTCTACTCCGAACTCAAGAACGGAAAACGGAATGTTGGTGGGCAGGAAAAGAGATTGAAAGATGGGCTCAAAGCCAACCTCAAAACTTTGGCATAGACACCGAGAACTGGGAAGCCCTGGCCCTTGAGCGCTCCAGCTGGAGGTCAGCTGTGACCAGCAGTGCTGCAGAATTTGAGAAGGCACGAGTGGAGGATGAAAAAGAGAAACGTGCCAAGAGGAAGGCGCGTCAAGCCAGACCAGGACCGCCTTCCACCTGGAAACCGATGCCCTCACTGCAGAAGCGAGATTCCCCCCCCCCCCCCCCCCCCCCCCGCCCCCCCCCCCCCCCCCCCCCCCCCCCCCCCCCCTCCCCCCCCCCCCCCCCCCCCCCCCATCACTCCCCCCAATCAATCCCCCCCCCCCTCCCCCCTCACCCCCCGTCCCCCGACCCCCCCACCACCACCACCACCCCTCTCCCAAAAAAACCCCCTTTTAGCCTGACCCCCCCTCTCCCCCCCCCCCCACACCCCAACCCGCCTCCGTCCCGGCCGGATCCCCCCCCCGGCATGTCAAGCCACCCTGACCAGGACCGCCTTCCACCTGGAAACCGATGCCCTCACTGCAGAAGCGAGATTCCATCTAAGCCAGAGATTTCCACACCGTGCGTTGCGGCACATTTGTGTGTTGGCGGCATTGTGTGGGTGTCTCGCACCAATGTGGCAAGAAACCTCTGAGTCTAGGCGAAATAAGCAAAACATCATCATATTTTTAGAATATGCATGCAAGGGCTTCATGAGATCCCCATACACTGGGTTATTTACAGTTTCACTACAGGCAGTCCCCAGGTTGCAAACACCTTACCGAGGCAAGGCTACCTCTATGCAGATACCCTCACTGATTGACTTTGCAGCTTCATAGCTGCTCAATGCTATTCAAAATTGCTAATTGCAACATTCACAATTGCTTTACACAGACAAGGGTTCTTTCTCCCACCCTGGACATCATTCCACAGGCATATGTACACTACACTTGCTTCACTACCTCTATGCAGATACCCTCACTGATTGACTTTGCAGCTTCATAGCTACTCGATGCTATTCAAGCTTGCTAATCAAACAGACTAGGGTTCTTTCTCTTACCCTGGACATTAGCCCATAGATATCACTCTACTTGCTACCTCTATGCAGATACCCTCACTGATTGACTTTGCAGCTTCATAGCTACTCAAGCTTGCAAGCTTGCTAATTGCAACATCCACACTTGCTTTACATAGACAAGGGTTCTTTCTCCCACCCTGGACATCATTCCACAGGCATATATACACTGCACTTGCTTCACTACCT